GTATATATATATATTAGTGCTGTCAAACGATTAATTGCGATTAATCGCATCCAAAATATCAGTTTTTGTTTACATAATGTGTGTATATATTTAATATGTATATATAAATACAAACACATGCATGTATATATTTAAAATATGTTATTTTTATATATTAAATATATTTTTATATAATAAAAAATAAAAGAATATAAATATCTAAATGTAAATACATGTGAATATTTTCAAAATATATACTGTATGTGTGTTTATTTATATATACATAATAAATATACACAGCACACACACATATATTATGTAAACAAAAACTTTTATTTTGGATGCGATTAATCGTTTGACAACACTATAGGTATATTGAAGAGAAATTTGCAATAAAAATGAAGCCTATAATGTGTCATTTGTCAAGTTTTACTTTTGTAATTCTCATTATTCTGAATGGTGATTCTCATATTAATTATGTACTTAATTATGAATTATATACTTAACTGAATCATGAACTAGCTGAAATACAAATAAATTAGTTCTTTACGGTTTACATTACTGTTTTCATAATTTTTTTTTTAATCAAAAAAATGGTGTGCCTCTTTTAATAAACAAGGACTTAAAATGAATTTATTTTAAAGCAATAGTTTACCCAAAAGTCATGTGACTTTTTTCTGTGGAAGACTATATATATATATATATATACTTTTTTTATTAAACTGAAGTATCAGAGTAAAATTTAGGGTTTTACAGCATTGAGCTCGATGCGTTGATCCTCAGAGAAGTTTCCATCTGTGTTTCTCAACTCCTTCAGAATGACGGGCTGTAGAAACACACACACATAAACACCCATAATATACACACACGCGAGAGGACACACTAGGGGAGGGCAATCTAATATCGTGATTGATCTTAAAGACGTCTACATTCTATTTTTTAAGTGAATCATAGATTGTGATCTTTTATGTCCTAAAATGTTTTTAAATCTACAGCAATGACTGCCTTTTACATGACTGTGATTGGACAAATTAAATAATGCGTCTATATCATGTGTCTTTCATGCTTGGTGATGTATTTAAAAAAACAATTTAAATAATGCGTCTATATCATGTGTCTTTCATGCTTGGTGATGTATTTAAAAAAACAATTTAACGTGAGCTAGCAGCAGTAGTGCGATGAATGAATCAAATTTTTGTTTCGGTTTCGATTCTATTAAAACGATCATTGTGCCACATACCGTTCCTTCTATTTAAAGCGGTGTGCTTTCACCTCTCCTTAAAAACCTACTGTCGTAAAATGCAGTCTACTGTAGGACATGCTTTATTTTTAAATAGTTATTAAAAGCGCATTATCTGTGAAAGAGTCTATTCCTCGCACGTGCTCAGAGACGGGGTGGAAACACGGAAGAGTAAAGTATACTTGGGGTTTCAGACACGTGCATAAACAGTCAAATATACATTAAAAAAATGTCAAAATGTCTGTCTTGGTGAGTATTTACATAAAGCCAGTTATGTCTTTAGTGAACATAAACGATTGGGAAGGAAAATGGATGTACAGTGGGTACGGAAAGTATTCAGACCCTATGGGGTGCTGTGTGTACATTAATGAGGAAAAAAAATTTACTTAAATGATTTTAGCAAATGGCTGCAATATAACAAAGAGTGAAAAATTTAAGGGGGTCTGAATACTTTCCGTACCCACTGTATGTCAGTACATTAGATTTGTGCATTCAAGTCTTAAAGAGAGAGCAGCCAAATAAACCTACTGCTGTCTGTGTCATTAATGTTAATTAAACAACAAAATACAAAGAGAAAATCACTCACTGCTTTTGACTGAATCACTTTATAACTTTAATGAGAATCATATTTTATACAGTAATGCATTGTTTTAAAGTTTACTGACCATTTTAACAACTGATTGTTTAATGCAATTGTGTGTTTTTTAAATTGTGTAAATAGGTAAGTCATAGGCTTGTTCCTGTCTGGATATTCTCAATAGTACATCGCAAAATTGGGAAGATAACGATTCAGATCGTTGATCATGTTTTTGTGTTATAAGATCATGATATGATATTGACACACCTTTTTGTCGTATCGGCCCTTGTGTATCAGGACGCTGTTGTCGCCCTTCTTCTCCTCATCGATCTACAACACAAACACACACAAACGTCACTCAGAGGCTGACAGACAACCTGCAGGCGTAATCATGGACAGACAGACAGATGGATGGTCGCTTTTACTGTCAGACTGATGTGGTTTCTCTCTTTGTCGTCCAGCAGCGTGATGAGTGACGGGTTGATGTGAGACCATTTCTTTTGATCAAAACGCACCCTCCTGTTCTGCCTGAAAATACAAACAGATGCATGTCTTAACACATCTGTGTTTAATTGTTATGAAATGAATGCATATAAAATGAAAAATTTCATATATATATATATATATATAGAAAATTATTTATATGATATAAAATAGGTTTCGTTTTCATTTAAGACCCCATGCAGTTCTTGTTCTCCATTCAGTTCTTTTGTCCAATCAGAGCATCTGATTGGACAAAACCGTCTTAAAGATACAGATGTGATTGATTTCTAATTGGTTTTGGGGTGAAATGCAACCCATTTGACATGTTTTACCTGTATAAGATGAAAGCGATGGCGGTGGCCATGACCACACTGATCCCGAGAACGATCATGATGATGTTCTGAGCCTCCATCCCTGAGAAACACACATTAGTTAGCATTAGTTAACGTGATGCAGCCTGTCAGTCACATGGCATTTAATTAGCGAACGTGGCAGTTTACCGTGAGCACGTTTATCTCTGGGCAGCTGCGATCCATCCCACACCAGGTCGGGATCCGTGTGATTGACCCACGTGACGTTCAGAGACGTGCTGAAGACGAACAGCGTCTTATACTGAAGAAAAACAACAGACAACTGTCAAACCAAAACATGCTTGAAAGATACAAACAACACAAAACCTATTTTACTTCTGTGGTGTAGAATGAGGCTTGACTTTTTTTATATCAGGAATTGATTACATTTTTTATTTGCATTTATTCATTTAGTGTAAGTGTTTTCAATCTTTTAGATCCCACGGACCCCAAATAAATTACATTTAAATTTATTTCATATTTTCATGTATAAAAACCCAATTTATACTTTGAATAAATAATGTTATAAATACGTGTAAAATATTATTTGAAAAGGAAAAAAAGGATTTCACTTCTATTAAATTACATAATTAAATGTTCTACTCACAGGACTACTGTAATGTTAGATGTATTATTAATTTATTTAAATAAATTTTTTATTTATTTATTTATTTTTATTTAGTTTGTTAATTCAAACCTATTTATTTTTAAATTTTTAATACTTACCTGGACCTCAAAACCACTGATTTTGGAAATGCTTTTATTCAAAACGACTTACAAATGAGGGAAATTACTTATGCCGAGTTCACACTGCATGATTTTCAAAGTTGTCGGGTCACCGTTGTTTTCACACTGCACAACTATCTGGGGTAGCATTCATGCCGAGTTCACAATGCATGATTTTAGCCCAGATTTTCACTCGCTGACAGGTTTTGTGAAATCAGTGTCAAATCGATGCTCGTTCACGCGAGTGTGAATTATCAAAGATGCAATCTGAGAGAATCGCCGATGCGGCGCTGATGCCTGTGAAATATTTGGCATGCTAAATATCTGGACCTGTCGGCGATTCAAAATCCAGATTCTGCAAGCTGGGGAGCTGTGGCCGGCAGACGGGTGGAGTCAGCAGCTGCCCGCCAGGGCAGGGTGTGACGAACTGCCTCAGTCTGCTTCTGTGCAGCCGAGAGTTGCTGGGCCAGGCTCTCGACCGTGTTGCCGAAGAGGCCGGTCTGGGACACGGGCATTAAGGAACTGAACTTTGTCGCCGTCCCTCATATCAACCAGACACAGCCAGAGATGGCGCTCCTGGACCACAAGTGTGGACATCGCACGACCCAGAGAACTCGCGGTGACCTTCGTTGCTCGGAGCGCGAGGTCAGTAGCGGTTCGGAGCTCATTCAGAACTTCTGGATCGTGACCACCCTTGTGCAGGTCCTTCAGTGCCTTGGCCTGGTGCACCTGCAGTAA